GGGGGGGGGGGGGGGGGGGGGGATGGGGAGGGAAGGGTGGGGGCACCGAGGTGTTTGGCGACCTGGATAGCTGTTCATGGGCAGATAGCAGTTGGGGGGTGGGCAAAAATAGAAGATACAGCCCCGTTTCCAAAAAAGCTGTGTAAAATGCATTGCTTTGCAAACCATATCAACCCATATTTAGTTTAAAATAGAACACAGACAACATATCAAATGTTGAAATTGAGAAATTTTACTGTTTTATGGCAAATATATGCTCAGTTTGAATTTGACGCCAGCAACACATTTCAAAAAAGTTGGGACAGAGGAAACAAAAGACCGGAAAAGTTGTGTGATGCTAAAACAAAACACCGGGTTGAATATCTCACAACTAATTAGGTTCATTGGCAACAGGTCAGTAAGATGATTGGGTATAAAAAGAGCCTCCCAGAGAGGTAGAGTCTCTGTGCAGTGAAGATGGGGAGAGGTTCACCACTCTGTGCAGTGAAGATGGGGAGAGGTTCACCACTCTGTGAAAGACTGTGTGGGCAAATAATGCAACAATTTAAGAATAATGTTCCTCAGTGTAATATTGCAAAGAATTTGGGAATCCCATTATCTACCCTGAATAATATCATTAAAAGATTCAAAGAATTGAGAGGAATCTTGAAACCAATATTGGATAGCCGTGATCTTCAGGTCCTGAGGCGACACTGCATTAAAAACAGACACGATTCTATAGTGGAAATCACTGCATGGGCTCAGGAACACGTCTGAAAACCAGTGTGTGTGAAAGTTTGTCATCCACAAATGCAGGATGAAACTTCTACCATGCAAGAAGAAATTGTATCTAAACATGATCCAGAAACATCCCCGACTTCACTGGGCCTGAGCTCATTTAAGATGGACTGAACTAAATTGAACACTGCCCTGTGGTCTGACGAATCAAAATCTCAAATTCTTTTTGTAAAATCAACACTGCATCCTCTGGGCTAAAGAAGAGAGGGACCATCCAGCTTATTATCAGCGGACAGTTCAAAAGCCAGCATCTGTGATGGTTTGGGGCTGCATTAGTGCCCATTGCTTGGGTAGCTTGCATATCTGGGAAGGGACCATTAATGCTGAATGATATATACAGGTTTTGGAGGAACATATGCTGTCATCCAGACAATGTCTTTTTCAGAGAAGGCCTTGAATATTTCAGCAATACAATGCCAATCTACATTCAATGAGTATTACAACAGCATGGCTCCAGTGTAGATGAGTCCGGCTGCTAGGCTGGTCTGCCAGCAGTCCAGACCAATCATCCATTGAAAGCATTTGGCTCTTCATGAAATTAAAAATGTGACAAAGCAGACTCCAAACTGTTGTGCCGTTAAAATCCTGTATCAAGCAAGAATAGGACAACATTTCACTTTCAAAACCCCAGCAACTGCTCTCCTCAGTTTCCAAAAGTTTACAGAGTGTTGTTAAAAGATGAGGTGATGCAACAGTGGTAAACATGCCCCTGTCCCAAATTATTTTAAAAGTGTTGCTGGCATCAAATTCAAACCGAGCATATATTTGTCATAAAACAATAAAATTATTCAATTTCAACATTTGATATGTTGTCTTTGTTCTATTTTCAATTAAATATGGGTTCATGGGATTTGTAAATCATTGCATTCTGTTTTTATCTACATTTTACACAGCGTCCCAACTTCTTTGGAATGAAGGTTGTAGAAGAAGAAAATCAAAGCATATAACATTCTGCACAGAGTGAGCATAATAATGTGTGGAAAGCTTATGAATGTTTTATAGTGAAACTATAATGGCAATGCATTCCCGGGACTGGCCTGTCACTTACTCCACCTATCTAATCCCCACTCCTCCCACACTCACAATCTGTACAGTATCTATAAGTACTGGATGGATCAACTGTAAATGTGAAAACCTAGAAATGTGTTATGCACAAACCTATGCTTTTTGGTCATGTAGTTACAATTTACATATTTGTGTATCAGGTAGTTTTTGTTTTGCATTTGCCATCATTTTTAATGAATAGGCCACACAGTATGACATTACTCTTTTGCTCTACGTTGCATTGCAAGGCAAGCACACCAACAAAAGAGAAGATTGTCATAGTGGGAAAGCACATCTGTAGTGCCCTTTGCTGTCAGGCTTTTCACTGTCACCATATGCCCTAAATGCCAGCTCCTGACGACCCAAGAATTAAATCGCATCAATCAGCCTTTTCAGAATCTCATGGCTTTTCCTCACTGTGTCGTTATATTTGGTCTATTCCAAAATGCACACCTTCAGGGCAGGTAGATCACATGGTCCAGAAAATATAAAGGCGTCCCATGGTTCGAGAACACAGTGTTTTATTTTTTAATACCGAGCGATCGAGTAATATACTGGACAGGTGTGACCATTAATCCTTACATTTCTTGAAAGACTTAGGCGTCCGTGCTCAGCCACGGTACAAGGAAAGTGTGAGTACACCCTTAAATGCATGACTGCCCTGATGTTCCTATCGCACAATAAAAAATTAACACTGTTATTTACAGTACAGTATGTAAACAGGATTAGCTACAATCAACAAGAACAATATTTACAAATCAACGTCTTTTAACTCTTCGTTCTTTCACTCACAGTATACCAATGCCTTGCCCACAAAAAACGAATATTGGCTAACAAGTGACTTCATCTTGCCTGATGGCTGAACTTTTTGAATGACTGAATGTTTTGAATGGTTAAGCGTGGTTAAGCATTCTCCTTTTCATACACACACAAATATACACAGTTGAAAGCAAAGCTTGGGGTTTGAATACACAGTCAGGCTATTTTTCCTGCGTTGCTGAAGCACTTTGACTTGTCTTAATATAATCACCTGATCTGTGCCTATTCTTTCATGTGCCACCACTGACGAGGACAAAGGCTAAGGGACATAATGATGATAAAATACCACAGTTTAACAAAAATATAATTACAAGCCTATCTTGCACACGCTTCCCACAAATTCCCCCACAATAAATTTCACCAAGTTCCCCACGATCCATTTCGCTGACTGACTAAAAGACGGATACCAATAAAATTTGTTGAATGGGGAGGCTAGTGATGAAAAAAATAGTATGAACTTTATTGCAGAATATTCAGAAAATAATCTTGCGTTCCACGGTCTGAGAATAACTGGCCTTTCCAGTTTGTTACCCTTACATTACATCTGCAAAGTTTGGAAAAGATCCATCAAACAAATTTTGAGGTATCACCTTAACAAGAATGTGTCTGGAGTGGCAGACTGGTCCCAAAACCACATGTTCCTTGGCTGGGGAAAACAATGAAAGGAGAATGAAAGGTATGGGAACTAAGGATGGATGAAAAGATCTATGTGAAGTTGGACTATACCTGCAACTACACACCATCAACAACACTATCAAAAGGCTCTCAAAACCTCTTAAAGTACTACCATTAACCATGTCATGCTGACAAAAATTGGGTACCTACAGTACCAGCGAATGGACTTTACATACCTGTTTTTAATGCATTGTCTCTATTTTTGCTTTTGTTATTCACCTTCTAGTAAAAGGCTTTGAGGCAATATTGCAGTGACCAAGAGAGTGTTCAACATCACAGAATTTTCCCAAATTTTTGACACTTTAAAACAGCCCCATTTTGTTTTGACAATAGCATAACAGAACCTTGGCATTCTTTCAGCCAGCTTGCAGATGTAGCCACCTGGAATGCTTCTCAAACAGTCCTGAAGGAGTTTCCACAAGTTCTGGGCACAGGGTGGCTACCTTGGCTGCCAGCACTCCATCCCTTTAATTGTACTGTGCTTTGGGTCATCATTTTGTTGAAGAACAAATAATTTTCAGTAGGCATGGCCAGACTTTTGACTGGTACTGTATGTTTTTTTTCTTGTGTTCAAGATTTAAGTCAGATTTTAATATCATCCATATAACAATCTGCTAAAACTACGTATATGAGGAAGTTAAAAAGAGGAACAATCGGAAAATACATCAAAGAATATAGCATATATGTCTTCTGTTAAAC